CCCCCCTCCCCCCCCCGCCGTGGCGCTCGGCTGAGTTCTGCGCCGTTCAGCCGGGCCGCCGCAGGGGAGACCAAATGGCCGCTTGCTCCCACGCGGTGGCCCGGCTGAGCGGTGCAGAACTCAGCCGAGCACCATGGCAGGAGGCGAAGGGGGGAGGGGCGGTGACATATAGGGTTGCCTGGTGTCCGGTTTTCTACGCCAGTGACACCTTGCAGAAACTAGGTAAGCCCCCCCTAAGCATCCACCAGCCTCACAGCTGCCGTCTCAACCCTCTGAGAACTCTGTGCTATGGGATTCCTGACTGAGCTGGAGCTATAATTCCTCTCATGCCTCCTGTACCCTCACCAGCAGCCTCCTCCACATTATCTACATGCCAAGGAGCCACCTGGCCACTGTTTAACGAAAACAAAAGGAAGTTAAACAACACACACACCGGGAAACCTCTGGCACAATCAGCTCAAATTCATCCCTGAGGTAACTCTGCTCTGTTCACTGCAGTTACACTAAGGATGGGTTTGGCCCCACATGTCCAGCTGAGCTGCTCCTTGCATGGCAGGTTCTACTCCATGAAGGTGAAACAGACAGCTGAGATAAAGATTGAGTCCAAGTGATTTGGCACCCCCTACAGGTGATCATTCAGATCTGTAGCAACCCATCCTCACCATCTCCATAGAAGTGGGCTCTACGCTGAGATAGCCACAGCACGGTTTGCTTTTCCTGGGTTGTGGGTTGTTTGGGGGACATTTTTAGGAAATGGCAGGAACTAAAACCCCACCAGGCTCTAAGGACCACAACTGGGAGGGTCCCCTTGTAGGAAGCTAATAGATCTGTGGCCAGTGTCTCTGTGTCAAGCCCTTAACATTGGAGTTAGCTGGAGATGTAGAAAAAGAGGGTTTCTAATCATCCCTGGCAGGGAACAATGGCACCAGAGAAGTCTCCATGTGTGGGTCGTTTTCCTTGGATTCATACTGCTGGGCTTCACTAAAAGGTCATAGAGCAGTTTTTAAACTAAAAGATATGGGGAAAGCCGATTCGTGCAGAGGAGCATGTGGATTGGACGGAGACTTCTCTTAGAGGAGAGTCCATTGATCAAGATTCTCTAGGTTTTAGTCAGAAGGAGAGGAGGGGAGATGATAAAGTATGGGCCAGATCAGAAACAATCACATATACAAGAATCTAATACATCGGGGAAGGGCAGACAAATAAACAGTGGCAATTTTTTAAAGTGCTTCTACACAAATGCTAGAAGTCTAAATAATACGATGGAGTACCTCATATTAAAGGAGAAGATTGACATAATAGTCATCACAGAAACCTGGTGGAATGAGGACAATCAGTGGGACACAATAATACTGGGATATAAAATATATCAGAAGGACAGAATAGGTAGTGAGGGTGAAAGATAATATAGAATCAAATGAAGTAAAAGTCTTAAATGAATCAACATGTTCCATAGAATCACTATGAACAGTAATTCCATGCTCTAAGAATAAGAATATAGCAGTAGGGATAGATTATCGGCCACCTGACCAGGACAGCGACAGTGATGTTGAAATGCTAAGGGAGATTAGAGAGGCTATTGAAATAAAAAAACTCAGTAATAATGGGGGATTTCAATTATCCCCATATTGACTGGGTACATGTCACGTCAGGATGAGATGCAGAGATAAAATTTCTCAATGCTTTAAATGACTGCTTCTTGGAGCAGCTGGTACAGGAACCCACCAGGGGAGAGGCAATACTCAATTTACTCCTGAGTGGAGCACAGGATCAGGTCCAGGAGGTAACTATTGCAGGACCATTTGAGAATAGTGATCATAATATAATAACATTTAACATTCCTGTGGTGGGAAGAACACCTCAGCAGTCCATTTAATTTCAAAAAGGGGAATTATGCAAAAATGAGGTGAGTTAACAGAAATTAAAAGGTATAGTGACTAGAGTAAAATCTCTGCAAGCTGTATGGAAACTTTTTAAAGACACCATAATAGAAGCCGTACTTAAATGTATACGCCAAATTAAAAAGCGTAGTAAGAGACCTAAAAAAAGAGCAACCGTGGCTTAAAAACCATGTAGAAGAAGCAGTGAGAGATAAAAAGGCATCTTTTAAAAAGTGGAAGTCCAATCGTAGTGAGGTAAATAGAAAGGAACATAAACACTGCCAAATTAAGTGTAAAAATGTCATGAGAAAAGCCAAAAAACATTTTGAGGACCAGCTAGCCAAAAACTCAAAAAGTAATAGCAAAACATTTTTTAAGTACAATAGAAGCAGGAAGTCTGCTAAAAAATCAGGCCCCTGGACGATCAAGATACGAATGGAGCAATGAAGGACGATAAAGCCATTGCAGAGAGACTAAATTATGTCTTTGCTTCAGTCTTCACAGCTGAGGATGTTGGGGAGATTCCCAAACCTGCACCGGCCTTTGTGGGAGATGAATCTGAAGAACTGTCTCGGACTGAAATATTATTAGAAGAGGTTTTGAAACAAATAGAAAAACTTAACAGTAACAAATCACCGGGACCTGATGGCATTCACCCAAGAGTTCTGAAAGAACTCAAATGTGAAATTGCTGAACTATTATCTATGGTTTGTAACCTATCCTTTAAATCAGCTTCTGTACCCAATGACTGGAAGATATCTAATATAATGCCAATATTTAAAAAGGGCTCCAGAGACTACCTTGGCAATTACAGATCAGTAAGTCTAACGTCAGTACCGGGCCAATTAGTGGAAACAATAGTAAAGAATAAAATTGTCAGACACATAGAAGAACATAATTTGTTGGACAAAATTTGTTTCTGTAAAGGGAAATCATGTCTTACTAATCTATTAGAGTTCTCTGAAGGGGTTAACAAACATTCAGACATGGTGGATCCAGTAGATATGGTATACTTAGATTTCCAGAAAGCATTTGACAAGGTCCCTCACCAAAGATTCTTGTGTAATTAAGTTGTCATGGAATAAGAGGGAAGATCCTTTCATGGATTGAGAACAGGTAAAAAGACAGGAAACAAAGGGTAGGAATAAATGGTAAATTTTCAGAATGGAGAGGTGTAACTAGTGGTGTACCCCAAGGGTCAGTGCTAGGACTAATCCTATGCAAGTTATTCATAAATGACCTAGAGAAAGGGGCAAGCAGCTGTTCTAGTGTCCTTTCAGCACAGAAGACACTGAAGACTCCAGCCCAGGATCATTCTCTGTGGACTCTCAGCTAATCAAAATCTCTCCCCCTCTCGGGTTCCTGCCGAAATCCTTTTGAACAGTGGAAACAAGGTAGGGAGTGAGGGTCTGAAAAACACTTCAAGTATCTGGGTGTGAGGGTGCCAGCCAGGAACAGTTTGAGCCCAGCTGTCACATGCAATAGGTTCCTTGTTACCAGGAATTCCTTGCAGTGCTGTAGATCATGCAAGTTTGCTATACTCCGACAGCCAGACACACTTGGCAGAGGGTGTTTAATTTCCTGCACAAAGAAATACTGTTATGCAGTTCCATTTTCATGGGGAGAGAGTAGAGCTAGAAAATAAAATGATGGCAGGCCAGGCTGCTAAAAGCCTCCCAGACTATGGGTGGAGGATTGGTCTACTTATATCTAGCTGCAGCAATAAGTTAGCCCCTTGAACATCTTGCCACTCCATTCCTATAAACCAGACATGACCGACAAGGCAGTTCAGACTCCAGTCAAGTCAGACGTATTTACATGACTCGTTCCTTTTGCAAATTCACACGTGTGTGACACTCCCTCCCTGCCCTACTGAGCGTGTATAAATGGAGCGGTTTGCATTGCACAGTGCTCTGGCTCGCACTGCGGCTGAGAACTGCCACCATGATCTCCCACACTCAGCTTCTCTGGATACTTGTGTTTTGGATTCAGGGTAAGAAAACACAAGAGACCTCGCTTAATGAACAGCAGCAGCAGAGACAATGCAAATATAATCTATTTGTGGTAACAGAGATTTGATTTGTTTCTTTAATAATCTATAGAGTTAAAATGTAGGGAATATAAAGCTATAACTCTGATTAATAAATCACATGTTCCTGTATTTTTTTTTTTTACGTCTAGAGTCCACTGGGCAAAAAGTGCTGACGCAGACTCCAGAATCATTATTGGTCTCCCCAGGAGACACTGTCACTATCAAATGCAGAGCCAGTGAAAGTGTTAGCACTTACCTACACTGGTACCAGCAGAAATCAGGACAAGCCCCTAAGCTCATTATCTATAACGCTTCCAACCGCCCTTCTGGAATCCCAGACCGGTTCAGTGGCAGTGGGTCTGGGACCGATTTCACTCTCACAATCAACAGGGTTGAAGCTGAAGATGCTGGAGATTATTACTGTCATCAAAGCTATATCCCTAACACAGTGATACAGACCAATACAAAAACCTCCCCATGTGCGTGCGCGCTGCCGAGCATTTGTCACAGTTGTTTGCACGACATCACATTCACAGATTTCATAACAAACACAAAACAGGAAGTTAATGACACAGTTCTCCGCCATTAGTCCCACTGCCATTTGTAGTCGGGACACAGAGGGCAAAGAGAAAACCTGCAAAGGCTATTGACATAGTCAGAGTGATCCTTTTAAAACAGAAGTTGCAGGAGGGAAAACCCAGAAGAGTAATGTTTGTGCAGCACCTTGATCCATCACTGCAGGCCCTGGGCACAACAGCAATACACACAATGACATAGGTTGTACCACTATAAACAAGAACTCTCAAGTCCGGCAACATCAGTGGTCCAGGATGACCACGGATGTTCCAAGATCAGAGTCCTGGCACACTGTGGAGTGTTGGGGACTAGGAGCCTGGCAAAATGAAGGAGGGAACAACGTGTAGCCCAGCTGGGCTGGGGTGGGTGAGAGGTGAAAGCCTGGCGTGTGGCTCAGCTGGGATGTGGGGAAAGCCAGGAAGCCCAGTGGCAGGGGGGGGGGGGGGGAAGAGGAGGCTGGTAGCAGAGGCTCTGGAAATTACCTCCCCTGGTCTGATAAAATGCCTCATCTGGGACCATTGAGGTCCTGAGGGTGCCAGACTGGGGAAGTCCAAGCTGTAGCACTTAGGTAATAAAAGCCAGTTTTCCCAAAGAGATCATCTCCCACGTAAGAATAACATAAGTGTTCAACAGAGCTCAGCACGTTGGCTGTCAAGGGCTATGGGGAAGCTGGCCATTAATGTCTCAATAGGACTGGATGGGTGACCCGTCTTAGGTGCCTAAATGCGAGCTGTCCTGTTTTGAAAATCTGCTTCTTTGAGCCTGATCCTGGGCCCAGAGACATTAACAGAGGGCTCCTATAGACTTCAACTGGTGTTGTGTCGGACCCTACAGACTGCAGCAAGACACCTTTGTCTAACCAGCCTCAGCACTTCTTGTGGTGAGACAGGCTTTGCCTTCCTTCGGCGGTACTGTCAGGATAGGCCTCAAGGGAGGGTAACCCTCCAATAAGCAGAAGGAACTGCTTCACTAGACACAAATACCAAGGGAGATACCTCCCTTGCCTCCTCACTGGGGTGGGATATTGACCTGGGGTTTGCCCTGGGGACTCAGTCTTTCCCCTCGCAGATGCTCAGGCTTGTCTGTTTCCTGTGGAGGAAGAAGCATGGCCTTTCCTCGGGGGGGAGGGGTGTGTGTGTTTGCTTTGTTCAACAGGGGAGAGACTTTAAAAAGGGCTTCTGGAGAAAGGCCCCTAATTGAACTCAGGTGTTTCTAATGAACCTCAGGTAACCCCTTCTCAGCTTATAGGTTGGGGCCTGTAACATTCTAGAACTTATGTCTCTGCCTTCCCATACTCCCTTATAACTGGCTGGCCTGACTGTGTCACAAGGCACATCTCGAAGTTTCAGCCTTCTCCAGATCAGTGGCAGTGGGTCTGGGACTGATTTCACACTCCAGGAAGTGCTGTTGAAGCAGTCAGTGCTGGAGGTCATTTAATGTCAGCAAAGCTGGGACCAACCACCGTCACAATACAAACCAACACAAAAACCTTCGGCTGTGTCTACACTGGCATCCCTTCCGGAAAAGGGATGCTAATGTAGCACATCACAATTGAAGTGGGAATAAGAAATCCTCTGGAAAAGGCTTTATTTTCCGGAGAATAACGTCTAGACTGGCGCTTTTCTCCGGCTTATCTCCAAGCCGGAAAAAAGCGGCAGCCATGTAAATGCAAATCCCACGGGGGATATTTAAATCCCCCGCGGAATTTGCAATTGCGATGTGATACATTAGCATCCCTTTTCCGGAAGGGATGCCAGTGTAGACACAGCCTTCCTGTTCTCCCCTGTGGGCTCACTTCTTCATGTGTCACCACTGGGTGTCCAACCATTGACACATACACCAGCTTCTCAGCAAATCGAAACAGGAAGGATCTTGGGTCACTCACTGGTTCCACAATGGAAAACTGCATGAAAGCTGGACATGCTTTTTGAATGGCATTACTGCTCAATGGAAACAAGGGCAGAGTAAAGTCCTGCAGCAGCCTGGCCTGCTGTGTGTGTAGATACAGCTCTTATAGTCAACGTGTAAGGCCAGAAGGGACCACCAGTTCCTCCAGCTTGACCTTACGCATATCACAGACCACCAATCCCACCCAGGGTCCACAGACTAAAGTCAGCAATCAAGTGAGGCCTAAGTCTTACAGCCCAGAGCTGAATATTAAAACTGAGTTATCTTTCAGAAATTTTCATATACTTCCCAGTGCCCCACCAACTCCTCAGATCCTACTTTACCCAGCATTTCTGAGAGCTAATCACATTATTCTCGGGGAGCATTATTTATTGCAAAGATATGGCAGCATAAGCAGCAATTTCAGGGCTTAATTGAGCTTCAGCAGTTCACAGGCCTCAAGCTGGCCCTCTGCATTTCACACAGCGTGACTTTGTTCGTTCCTGTGCTAGTTTTTGTGAGCAGTTCATTGTTTTGCAAATAGTTTCTGAAGACAATTTTTCACCTGTGGGTCATATAGAGTGTCTACACAGCAAAGTTATTTTGGAATAATGGCCGTTATTCCAAAATAATATATGAGCATCTACACAGAAATTCCATTATTTTGAAATAATGGACAGCTTATTCTGACTTCTGTAAACCTCTGGCTACGTCTACATTGGCAAGATTTTGTGCAAATACTTTTAACGCGAGAGTTTTTGCGTTAAAGTATTTGCGCAAGAGAGCGTCTACACTTGCATGTGCTTTTGCGCAAGAGATGTGCTTTTACGCAAAAGCATCTGTGCCAGTGTAGATTCTCTCTTGCGCAAGAAAGCTCTGATGGCCATTTTAGCCATCAGGCTTTTTTGCGCAAGAAATTCATGTTTGCTGTCTACACTGGCCTCTTGCGCAAGAACAGTTGCGCAAAAGGGCTTATTCCTGAGCGAGAGCATCATAGTTCTTGCGCAAGAATCACTGATTTCTCACATTAGAACATCAGTGTTCTTGCGCAAGAACTCCCCGCCAGTGTAGACAGGCAGCATGTTTTTGCGCAAAAGCAGGTGCTTTTGTGCAAAATCATGCCAACGTAGACACAGCCTCACTGCATGAAAAATAATGCCTATTCCAAAATAGCTATTTCAAAATAATGAATGTACAGATGCTCCACTTCCGCTATTTCGAAAAGAATGGCCCTGGGCTCTAAATCAAGATAGCATGTCTACATTAGGGAAGCCTGCCTCGGACTAATTTTGAGGCTTCCTTGCAGATTAGACATGCTATTTCAAAATAAGCTATTTCAGAATAACTATTCCAGGATAGCTTATACCGAAATAACTGTGTAGAGTAGATGTAGACATAAAAACCAGGGAATTTTCTGGACCACAGAAGGTCAGCACTGTCTAGCAGCATTACAAACATTTCCACTGCTTTCTGGGCTCTTAGAAGATACTTAGGGGTAAATTAGAGCTAAATAACAGCACAGAACACAGACAGTAAAGTCTGGTGGCTGTAACAAACTTTATGGAACTGCGGGAAATGTGCCCACACCCATGAAAGGGGATATCTGGCTAAGTACAATCATTCTGGATGATGGATGTCTCCGGACTAGAAAGTTCTGGACTAGAGATACAGATATTGTAGTAGGGATACAGATACTGGAATGTTACATCAGAGCAAACACTCCCATCTCTGTATCTCTACTGTTTCTTTTTCCTTTCATGCATCCGATGAAGTGAGTTGTAACTCACGAAAGCTCATGCCACACTAACACTTAGTCTTAAGGAGCCACAGGAATCCTCATTGTCTTTTCACGCACATTTTCTTTTATATTCAGTGAGAAGTGTCTCCATGCACACACTGCTGAGCCTGAAAATAGTAATTAATTAGAGCCAATTCTGACAGCATGTCTTGCATTGAGTATTTTTAATAGCACTGTTTGAGAAGTAAGGACCTGTCCAAGGGCAAGTAATCAAAGCCTGTTCTCATGGCAAATGAAATATCACAGACCTCAGTGCTTTCCAGCATCCAAATCTAGCTTCCTCTTCCCAGACAGGCGGTGGGACATTTGCATACCCATGCTTATTTGCATATCCATGCCTCAGTGGCATTACCCTGTAGCTCAGAGAAGTTATAAGGGCTCCGTGTCACAGCTCATGGTGCATTGAGCAGCAGCTGTCAGCGAAGAGCTCTCAAGATGAGGTCACACTCTCTGTTCATCTGCCTGCTGCTTTTCTGTATGAAGGGTGAGTATTAAATTAGAATCTTTAATTAAGGCACAAAGTGGTGGATGATAAGCAACAAAACATCAGCGGAACAAAATGAGGAAAGACTTGTAAAAAGACACCCGTTCTCATTTTATACCTCCATACACTTTAGCTACATCAAGAACAGAATTGAAATGATTTGATATTAAATAAAATCACAGTTAATAACAATGTTGTGGCAATTTAAATCCTGACACTCTCTGGTACTACTACAGACACAGCTGGATTTACACTTTGATTTCACTTACAGGTGCCAGCGGGGAAACTGTGATGACCCAGACACCAGAATCCCTGGCGGTGTCTCCAGGAGACAGAGTCACCATCAACTGCAAAGCCAGTTCCAATGTGGGCAGCTACGTGGCCTGGTACCAACAGAAATCAGGACAAGCTCCTAAGCTCCTCATCCACAGCGCCTCCACACGTCCCTCTGGGATCCCAGACCGGTTCAGTGGCAGTGGGTCTGGCACTGACTTCACTTTGACAATCACCAGTTTTCAAGCTGATGATGCTGGCAGTTATTACTGTCAACAGGACTACGACTCGTCTCACACACAGTGATTCAGGCCAGTACAAAAACCTCTCCTCAGTGACGGTTCATTACTTCCATTGAAATGCTCTGTTTCAGTGACTCCGTCGGAGTCTTTCCAGATTTCCAGTCTTTCCAGCCCATCGGTGCAGAACATTAACACACTGCCATTTGAGGGATGTGCTACTGTACACGGCTAAATGGTTAACTGATGAACCTGGGCTCATCAGTTAACATTCACGGTTACACTCAAGTCTCCCCTATCCCTTCTGTTGCCTCTGTATCAGAGGCAGCAGGATGGGAGAGGATGGTGGGAGCTGGTACACTCAGGGAGCTGACCAGATCCCACAGAGCCACCTCCCTCTACTGCATCTAAACATGTAACTAGTGCAAATATCAGTGGTTACACATTTACAAAAAGCCTCTTAACATCCCTAACTTATACAAAAACTAGCAGACTTATCTGGCATTGCCAGGTACAGCTGGAGAAATGAGGGGCACAGGCACCCCCCCCCCACCCCCGGTGTTCCCAGAGCCAGGGATGGCCTGGAGGGGAGCCTGGCATGGGGCCAGGGTTGGGTGTGGCGAGAGTTGAGAAGGGGGCCGGCTCAGAGCTGCGGGTTATTGGGAGGGGCCCAGCCCTCAGATTGGGACCATGTGGCCTTTCCCACCTGTGCTCCCTAGGCTGGCTCGGAGGGAAAAGGGGAAGCTGCACATGCTGGGCCACCATCACCACTCGAGGTGCCCCAGCAGTGCTGGCAGAGGAGGGCACTGGTGGTTCGGGTGGGAGGATAGGACTGCACTGCTTGGCTCAAGTGGTGCTCAGGGGTAGGACTGCAGTGGTGGGGCCAGGTTCCTTGCCCCCTTCATTCGGTGCTGTGGCTGAGGGACAAGGGGGAAGGATTTGGGACAGGGAGGCCACTTACCTGGGTTAACAGAAGGCAACATTGCAAGCCCCATCCACAACTGGCCACTCCCTGGTTGTGCTGCTGCCTATCCCCTCCCCCCATATGGCAATTCTGCAGAATTGCTCTCCCCTGCAGTTACTATCCCCAGTAATGACAGAGTAATTCCTCTCTCTGACCCTTCCCTTTGCATTTTATGGAAAACAGTCCCATTCAGGCACACCCTGTTTTCCTGGCACAACCAAACCCTGTCCTTGCTTTAAGATAAGAGAAAGCTGAATACCAAGTTTGGTGATCTTAGCTCTCCCCATTTAGGGGACTTTTTGAACAATTGGACTTGCAGAAAGACACACAGACTCACAGACAAAACCACAAATGTCTAATAGCTAGCTAGATAATTTACACAGAACAGTATTTTGGAGTTCAGATATACCAGGTTAGAAAGAAACTCAGTAAACTAGGAAACCCTTTGGAAACAGATTCCATTGATAAGAAGTACCATATCAGAAGATGACCTAATGCGTAAGTTAGAAACTTATGCAGAAATGTTGAAACTGCTAACCACTGGGGTGGTTTCCTTACCAACTTAGGGTGTGTCAAGACTACACCTCTCTGTCGACAGAGAGATGTGGATTAGGCCCTTCAAAAGTTCAAATGAAGCCGGGATTTAAATATCCCATGCTTCATTTGCATAAACATGGCTGATGCTTTTTTTTTAAATGGAGCTTTTTTGAAAAAAACTGGCAGTCTAGACACGATCTTTCGAAATACAACCCTTTTCACGAGACATAAGGGAGCGGTCGACAAAGGCTTCCCTTGTCTACCGATCCACCTAGACTGCCATGCTGTGCCGGATTAGCTGATTGTCGGCACAGCGCGGCGGCCATTTTTATTTTAATGAAGCGGGGATTATTTAAATCCCCGCTTCATTGACTATGATGGGTAAACTAGTTTACATGGCTCCGGGACGGGATAGTAGGTGGTGTCTCAGGTAGTCATGCCATTAGGCAATTAGGCAGCTAGGGAGTCCTTTGATTGTGACAATGGCTTACTTTTGTGGTTGAGAAAAGTCCCATGTATTAGTAGTTTAAATGTGCATTTGTTGGCAACAGTATTAGATAACGCTTATCCCCTACTGGGAGAGAATCTAATTTCACTAGTGCACGAACACTATAGAGTAGTATAAGTCACACATATGTATTATGCAAATGGTCTCTAGCTCCAACAAGTGCCACTTAATAAGGAGGTCAGATTATGATCAATAGAAAGTGAGTTTCCAAGGGCTGGATCTCGCAATCAGCTTTTTATTGCCCTTTAGTTTAACACAGTGCAGTGTAGCTCACTGCAAAGCCTGAAACAGTCATCACTTGATGCCAGTTCTGACAGCCTGACTCCCGTTGAGCATTATTTTTAGAACAGTCCAAATGATTTCAGTTGGACTGTTTGAATAGGAGGACACTGTACATGACAAATAAATCAGAGTCTGTTCTCATGGCAAATGTAATATCACAGGCCTCAATGTTTTCAGGCACTCAAATGCAGCTACCCCAGAACAGGTGGTGGGGGCGTTTGCATAGCTATGCTAATTTTGCATATCCATGCCTGAGTGGCATTGCTCTGTGGCTCAGAGGAGTTATAACGACACCATGTCACAGCTCATGGTGCAGTGAGCAGCAGCTGTCAGTGGAAAGCTCTCAAGATGAGGTCACACTCTCTGCTCATCTGTGTGCTGGTTTTCTGTATGAAGGGTGAGTATTAAATTACAATATTTAATTAAGGCTCAAAGTGATGGACGATAAGCTACAGAGCATCATCAGAACAAAATGAGGAACAACTTGTAAAAAGATGCCAATTCTCATTTTATGCCTCCATACACTTTAGCTACATGAAGAACAGAATTGAAATGGTTTGATATTAAATAAAATCACAGTTAATAACAATGTTATGGCAATTGAAATCCATACGCTATCCAGTAGTACTACAGACACAGCTGGATTTACACTTTGATTTCACTTACAGGTACCAATGGGGACATTGTGATGACCCAGACTCCAGAATCCCTGGCAGTGTCTCCAGGAGACAGAGTCACCATCAACTGCAAAGCCAGTTCCAGTGTTAGCAGCTATCTAGCCTGGTACCAACAGAAATCAGGACAAGCTCCTAAGCTCCTCATCTACTACGCTTCCACCCGTCAATCTGGGGTCCCAGACCGGTTCAGCGGCAGTGGGTCTGGCACCGACTTCACATTCACCATCAGCCGGGTTGAAGTGGATGAGTATGATGAGACTCCTCTCACACTGTGATTCAGGCCACTACAAAAACCTCCCCTCAGTGACTTATCATTATTTCCATTGCAACTCTGTGTTTCAGTGACACCGTCAGAGTCTCCTTAGGTTTCACAGTGCATCAGTGCAAAACATGAATGTGCCGGCTTGTGCTAGGGATGTGATAGTCTGCACGGTACAACAGTTAACAGATGAGCCTGAACTCATTGGCTAATCTTCAGTTACACTCAAGGTTCCACCCCCTCCCAGCGGCACTGCTGCTTCTGCATCTGACACAGAAGCAGAAGAGGGTGGGGGAACAGGCAAGAGCTGATGCTCACAGGGAGTCGACTTGTAAGCAGCCTCCCCCCAAGCACTGGCTCCTGGGGAACCCTTCTGCCCCTCCACACACATTGCTGCCTCTGCATCAAAGGCAGCAGCCTGGGGGAGGCAAGCAGGAGCTGGTGTATGTGAGGACCCAGCTTTTAAGCTGCCTTCCTGAGAGTACCAGCTCCTGTGGATCTCTTACCCTCTCACTGCATGTAAACGTGTAGCCACTGAAAATTTTAACCTCCCTAACTTATAGATAAATAAGAAGACTTAGCTGATGTTGCCCAGGTTCAGCTGGGGTAATGAGGGGCAGAGCACCCCGCCCATGTTCCCTGAGATGGATAGAGACTGGAGGTGAGCCTGGTGCAGGGCTGAGGTTGCGGGAGGGCGAGGCTTGGGAAGGGGACTAACTCAGGCCTGGGGGCTTAGAGGAGTGGCCCAGCCCTCAGACTGGGGCTGTGCAGGCATTTTGTGTTGGCATTTCCACTCGTGGGTGGTGCGACTGCCCCCAGTGATGACTCCACAGTATAGCTCCCCCTGCTGTCACTGCCCCCCAGTAGTGAGTGTTTCCTCTTGCTGGCCCTTCCCTTCGCATTTTAAGGACAACAGTCCCATTCCAGGCACACCCTGTTTTCCTGGCTCAACCAAACCCTGCCCTTACATTAAGGTAAGAGTAAGCTGCATATCGAATTTCTTTCTTACTGTTTATGAGGAGCTCTTTTACAAATGCACTTGTAGTCAGACACACAGACAGATGCATAAGTCTCTAAAACAGGGCTGGGGAACCTAAGGCTCACATGGATCTACCCCTCAGGCTTGGGGGTCCCCCTCAGCATGGGGAGCTTTCACTGGTACTAATGGCCTCCGCTGTTTCCCCCACGGGGCTGGAGTACACAAATTCTATGAGCCTGGACCCAACTGATTTTTCTGTGGGTCAGTGGCCCTTGACTCCAAAAAAGGTTCCCCACCCCTGCATGCATGCATGGATAGATAGATAGAAACAGTTCAGTAATTTCTCCTTATGGAGTTCAGATAGTTAAAATGTACCTCAGTAAACCAGAAAACCCCAGGTTGGAGGTTTCGGAAACAGATTCCACTGATAAGAAGCACCACATCAGAAGTTAACCCAATGCATAAGTTAGAAACGCATGCAGAAATGTCAAAACTGCTAACCACTGAGCTGGCTTCCTTACCAATTTAAAAACACAGTCTTATCTCACCGAAAAATTACTGACAAAAATGAAGACAGCGATCGATTTTCAGATGAAATGTCAGTCAGAGCAAGACAATGTCTTTGTTGCATATATAAAATAATTCTGTGTGAGAAATAAATATTCAATGAAAAAAATTCTACTAGAATCTCTAATAGGTAATGACACTGACAATGAATACTGACAGGAAAGTGTTGAGATATTCTACTGTCTGGGAGATCCAGAGAGGTTAGGGTATATTGATTTGACAATGTTACACAGCCTGGTGTCTATTGTCATCACTATAAGAAGAACAAATGACTCAGCAAAATTGTGCTTATAAAACTGCTTTCATTAGTCTTTCCTGTTTTAAAAGAATTTTCTTCTCTACCCTTGGACGGGATAGTAGGTGGTGTCTCAAGTAGCCCTGGCATTAGACATTTAGGCAGCTAGGGATTCCTTTGATTGTGACAATGGCTTACTTTTGTGGTTGTGAAAAATCCCATGTCTTAGTAGTTTAAATGTGCATTTGTTGGCAACCAATATTAGGTAATGTCTATCCCCTACTGGGAGAGAATCTAATTTCACTAGTGCATGAACACTATAGAGTAGTACAAGTCTCACATATGAATTGTGTAAACAGTCTTTCTGGACCAGGGAGTTCTAGATTAGTGTAGCCAGAGAGAAACTCCCCTCTCTCTTTCTCCCCCTCCTCCCTCTGCCATCCTTGGGAGAGAGAATCCTTGAGAGTGAAACTCTGTCTTCAAAGGCTCCAGGGCCTCCAGAGGTGCTGGAATAGCAATGGCCCTGGATGCTAGACAGGAACCAGATAACAGTGACAATTGGACCAGCAGGCGTTCAGGGACCTTGGGCTACCTTTGGCTGGTACCAGCATTGATACGCCTACACACACTGTCCCAGAAGAGGAATCTGCTGCCCCATCAGGAAAAGGATGTCTGGCCCTAATGACTTAGTTACCTCCACCTCACAGGTGCAAATTAAGCTTTGGACCCCCTGTGGGAATGAGCGTTACATAGACATTCCAACTTAACTGGCATTTTAATGACAAGAGAAGTGTCTACGTGACCACAGGGGTATAAAGTAGGGCCCTGTGCCCCACTCTAATTGGAGATGCACCCATAGACCTGCTGGTCAGGCGGTCTTGGACCCCCGAGACTTTAGGGATGCCTTCATCTCGTACTGACTGCTTCCCATTGGGATTGAGAGAAATGCTGCTTTCACCAGAGTAAAGATCGCAGGGGTGAGAATATACCTGCTAGGTGTCTGTTTTTGCATGCATTTAATAAGAGCTCAGAGAACCAAAAGGGTTTCATGGTACCTGTAAATGATTTTTTATCGTAATTTCTGTCTTGTCCTTTTGTAGTGGCTGTGTCATCTGTAACACAGCAGTTACATTTAACAGCTAAGCTTGCCTTGTAACAATAAAATAGTAACTGTTTACACTTTAACCTGACTCCTTCAGTTGCTGTAACAGAACCAGACACAATTAAAAGAAGTAAAGCCGGTCGGGGTAGACACAGAAAGAGCTGGGCGTTGGGTTCTGATGCCTCCACAGGGCAGATCCTTGGGGCACCCGTCAGCCTTCCTGGCTGCCCGCTGCGAAGGGACCCTGCAGTTGAAGACTCGGGTGTTTAATACGGCTCGCAGACCACACACTACCCCGACCACCAGCTAACAACTAGAGAAAGTAAACTTTAGCAGAGATACGGATATTGGAATGTTACATCAGAGCAAACACTCTCATCCCTGTATCCCCACTATCTGCCTCTTTTTCCTTTCATGCATCTGATGAAGTGAGGTGTAACTCACGAAAGCTTATGCCATAATAAAACTGTTAGTCTTTAAGGTGCCACTGGATTCCATGCTGTCTTTTCAAGCATGTTTCTTTTTATATTCAATGAGAAGTGTCTACACACACACACAACAAAGCCTGAAAACAGACATCGATTAGGGCCAATTCTGACCACCTTACTTACACTGAGTATTATAAATAGGACTGTTTGAATAGTAGGGATCTGTGCAGGGTAAGTAAATCAGAGCCTGCTCTCATTGCAAATGTAATATCACAGACCTCAATGTCTTCAGGCACCCAAATTGAGCTACCCCTAGTACAGGTGGTGTTGACATTTGCATAGCTATGCTTATTTTGCATATCTATGCCCCAGTGGCATTGCTCTGTAGCTCAGAGAAGTTATAACGGCTACATGTTACAGCTCATGGTGCATTGAACAGCAGCTGTCAGTGCAGAGCTCTCAAGATGAGGTCACACTCTCTGCTCATCTGCCTGCTGCTTTTCTGTATGAAGGGTGAGTATTAAATTAGAATTTTTAATTAAGGCACAAAGTGATGGACAATAAGCTACAGAGCATCATCAGAACAAAATGAGGAATGACTTGTAAAAAGACACCAGTTCTCATTTTACACCCCCATACACTTTAGCTACATCAAGAACAGAATTACAATGGTTTGATATTAAATAAAATCACAGTTGTTAACAATATTATGGCAATTTAAATCCTGACACTCTTTGATACTACTACAGACACAGCTGGATTTACACTTTGATTTCACTTACAGGTACCAGAGGGGACATTGTGATGACCCAGACTCCAGAATCCCTGACTGTGTCTCCGGGAGACCGAGCCGCCATCAACTGCAAAGCCAGTACAAGCATCAGCACTAACATTGCCTGGTACCAACAGAAATCAGGACAAGCTCCTAAGCTCATTTTCTATGGTTCTTCCTCTCGTCCCTCCGGGATCCCAGACCGGTTCAGCGGCAGTGGGTCTGGCACTGACTTCACTTTGACAATCACCAGTTTTCAAGCTGAGGATGCTGGCAGTTATTACTGTCAACAGGACCAGAGCTGGCCTCTCACACAGTGATTCAGGCCAGTACAAAAACTTCCCCTCAGTGACGATTTGTTACTTCTATTGAAACGTTGTGTTTCAGTGACTCCATCAGAGTCTTTCTAGTTTTCACAGCCCATCGGTGCAGAACATTAACTCACTGACTTGTACTAGGGATGTGATAATGTGCACGGTTAAACTTTAGTGATTACACAACAGGCTCATTGGGTAACCCCTTCTCCACACTGTTGCCTCTGATGCAGAAAGGCAGCAGTACAACAGCGGGGAGGAAGAGAGGGGAGAGACTGAAGCCAATGCTTGCAGGGAACCAACTTTTAAACCAGTTCTCTGAGCATACCAGATGCCAGAGAACTGCCTCCCCCTCTGTGAATAAATGTGTACCTTCTGAAATGTCAGTGGTTACACATGTACAAAAAACATGCTTTTTAACTCATACAGAAGCTTGAAGACTTACCTGGTGTTGCCCTGGTCCAGCTGAGTGAACGAGGGGTGGAGGTTTGATGGACCGGGCCAGGTCTGGGCACAGCTGAGGGCGTCCGCTCAGGGTGAATTGCTCAAAACTCGGGGCTTCTTACAGCCCCATACTGGAGGCCTTTCCCAAATAAGGCACAAATTAGTCACACCAAGCGCTTCAGCTGCCAATCTGGCCTGTCAGAAGCCTCGCGAGCAAAACCCCTCTGACACCCCAGCTCTTCCTATGCCCCAATCAGCCCCATGCCTGCACACATGTGAGGGATTTTAGATCCCAATCTCACCTACCCCGAAGGGGTTCTTCTGGTCCCAAGAAACCAGCCACTGGTCCCAATCAATTTACACTCTGGATCTTACCCATAAGACCACACTGAGCCAATCCTTTAGAATTTAGAAACTAACGGTTTATTACTAAAAGAAAGAAAAGCATGAGAGTAAAATTGTTAAGGAGAATACATTACATGCACCGAATCACCAAGTTCTCAATGCAGGCTCTTAGCAGAGATGTTATAAACTGCTATAATATAAGTCTCTGGTGTACATCCTATGTCAGGATGGGTCCAGTTCTTTCCAGCTTGCTGCCACATGGCACTTACATACCTCTCCTGGCATCCTCCTAGCCAGAGTAGCTCACATCGTCGAGTGACCTATCTCTGTTTCACATGCTGGCAGCCATTATGCCCTGACTGGTTTGCAGGTATCAGTCACATCCCTCAGGTATGTATTGGCACCTCAAGATTCATTGTCTCCTTGCTAATTAGCATAGCCACCAGCTGAACATTCTTTGCCTATTGCTCTGTCTCAGACAGAGAATTTTCCAGCATTAACACAGAGTATATATTTATAACTCCACATACAGATATTATACAAGTACATGAATAGCATATACAGAATCAGTAGAACATAAGCTTTCATTTAACATCTCACATAACCCCCTTTGTACAGACTTTTGGGGCAAACACCCCTTCTCCCCCATGGGAGGCATCCTGTTGCTGTTCCCCAAGTCAGGCAGGGACTGATAGGGAGACTGAGGGTGGGGCTGGGGTTGGGGAAGGTTGGTAATGGACCTGTAGGGACCTGGAGGTTCAGGGGAGGGGCCCAGCCCGCAGGGGCTGGCCTGGAGGGGGTGTGGCAGAATGAGGATACTATGCAGGCTAGGCCACTATGGCCACTCTTGGTGCCCCAGCGGTACTCATGGGTGGGGAGGGGCCCACCAGCAGGTCCTGTGGGAGGATGGGGCTGTGCTGCCTGGCCCCAGGAGTGCTCTGGGGGCAGGTCTGTGGTGATGGGGCCCAGCTTGCTTCTCTCCTCATCTGGTGCTGTTGCCGAGGGCTGAGGGGAAGAGGGATTTGGGTCATGAAGGCCACTTACCTGAGCTAGTGACAGGCAAGATGGGGAGCCCCATCCCTAGCTGGCCACTTGCTGGTCACTTCTGTAGCTTTCCCCTGCAGCTGCTGCCCCAGCAGTGACTATTGCGTCCCTCCTCTCTCTGGCCCTTCCCTTTCCATTGTATGGAAAACAGTCCCATTCTAGGCACAACTAAACCCTGTCTTTGCATTAAGATAAGAGGAAGTTGCATAACTAATTTGGTGATCCTAGCTCTTACCTTTTAGCGGGAGTTCTTGAACAAATGGACTTTCAGACAGATACACAGACAGATGGACTCTCAGACAGATGTACAAATCTCAGAGGCTATGTCTACACTTCACTTCTTTTTTGGAAAAAGGTACACAAGTTGTGCTCCGCAATTTGTGTCCCCTTTCCCGATTCTTTTTTCGGAACAGGCTTTTCTGAAATTTGGCCTGTCTACACTGGGCCAAATGTTAGAAAAACCTCCTTTTTCGAAAAAGCCCTTCCTCCCTCATGAAATAAGGTTTGGAGGGCTTTCCAAAGAGTGTGTCTGCTCTTCCAAAAAAATTTCAGAATAGCAGATGTGCTCTCTGGACACATCAGAGTTTTTCCAGGATAACTTTTTCCCGGAAAACCTCTGTAGTGTAGATGTAGCCAGAGAGATACACATTAACACAGTACAGTAACTTCTCTTTACAAAGTTCAGATAGTTCAGGTTGGAATGCACCTCAGTAAACCAGGAAAACCCAGGTTGGAGGCTTTGGAAACAGTGTCTATTTATAAGCATCACCATATCAGAAGCTGACTTGAAAGGTCATGTGAAAGGTTCCTGGTTCATCACCAGGCAGAAACAGGCCTCCTTTGATTCTAAGCTCCGGCTGGGATGATTTAGTTGGGGTTGGTCCTGTTTTGGGCAGGGAGCTGGACTCGATGACCTCCTGAGGTCTCTTCCAGCCTGTGACAGGGCAGACAAGCCCTGCACTGAAGGGTGGAGGGCAGCCCAGGCCCAGCTGGTGGAAGAGGCCCTGCATCCAGCCGTGCTGGGCATGCTCCCAGCAGAACCCAGGTATAAGAGCAGAGCGAGCCCTGCATTTGGGAGAGCAGCAGGAGGGTGGAAAGGAGCAGGCAGCATTCCTGGTGTTTCTGCAGCAGCTGAACCAGAGACAGAGCCCCACAACGGACTGCAGGAGTAAAGCCAGCAGCCACCCCCTGACTAAGAGACCGGAGCACCTGCAACCCCTACAACATCCCCAGCAGTACTGACTCCCGGGCAAATAGACTCCAGGGGAACCAGGGCATTGTAGGAAGCAGCCCAGGGCAAAGGACTGATAGTGTGGCTCGGTGTGTATAGGCTGGCCAAGCGGGCAGGAGCCATAGTCCCTGCCTAAAGGGCCCTCAGTTGGGACCTAGTGGAGAGGGAGGGCCCGGGTCCCCTACCACCCTTTTCCCTACCCTGGACAATCAACCCCTGACCCCGGAGAGGCGTCTTCAGATGGCTAGGTCTCAAAAGCCGTATTTACCCCAGTAGAAGGGCCTTGACTTTGGGACTAGGCTGCTAGAGCCGTATTTTCCCTGATAGAGGAACACGGACTTGGTGGCGAAGCCAAGGGGAGGGGCGAGCCCCCTGACACAGCCCTAGTATTCTATGATTCTTACACACCCCTGTGCTAATGTTGTACAAGTAACCAGCTGTTTCAGAATAGCATGGGGCATGCACATGGTCAGGCTGGGATCAGGCTCTAAGCAAACAGGAGCTGACATGGAAGGTGGTCTGTCAGCTTCCCAGCGGCTGCCGGACTGGCCACACCCATCCAAAATGGCAGCAGGTGCAGGAGGTGAACAAGGCTGAAGGGAGGGAGTCTGCTCCACTCACATCACCCACTGCAGCCCTCAGACTTTGCACCTACCAGGCCAGAGAGGTTAAAGGAATAGGGACACCGACAGACTGGGCAGTGCTTGGCATACGGATGCCACCTTTCAGCTTGCTCAGATTTGGGGTGCGTGTAACTCACACACCTACTGGGTGTGGGGCAGTGGCCCATCTAGTGGCACTGAGACCACTTACAGAAAGTCTGCTCTACTGCCTTCGCTAAGAGCCAGCTGCCTTTTAGCTCATGTGGGAGAGGGTTATGTGCTAAGCGCCAGTGGTCTCAGGTTTGATTCCACCTGCAGATAAGTGGAGTCTGCTGGCGTTGCATGTGCTCTTCCCAGACCTCCTTTTCCTTCTTCCTCCATGCACCCTGCAAGCCTCCGAGAGCACCAATCATTCTGGAGGTACAAAATACCTACGGCCACTGGTGCCAAAGCAGAGAAGCACCAAGCTGCTGCTGCTCTTTTTACTTGGATCTCAACCTGCAGCTGACTTCCTTACCCATCATTAGTTCATCCGTGGTTGCTACACCCTGCGCTTACATAGCTAACTCTGGCTGCTCCACCATCTGAACCATGCAAATCTGTGATCATTAACACAGCCAATGACAGCCTGAAACCATCCAATCAGCTAGTTCAAAGCTCCTTCCTGGAATTAAAATCTAGTCTTTTACATATCTGAGCTCATTTGCCTATTCACACATGGCTGATATTTTCTCAGTGAGCTACTGAAGGCATAAAAGGCTCCATTTTCACTTTGTGCCTTGCTGACGAGCGTTTCTAACCACACAGCAGCAAGATGATCTCAGCCACTCCCCTGGCCTGGTTGCTGCTTTTCTGGATTCAGGGTAAGAACAGACAAGTTTTACAAGGGTTATAAGGAATGAGATAAACCATGAAAAATGGCAGTTGGTTGTTTATTTACACACTAGTTTCTGCGGTATTTTCTAGTTCACTTCTCTTGTTGCATTTACAAACATTTCAGTACAAAGGTTTGAATGTCATTGTCCCATTTACCCAACCCCAACCCTGACAATTTTTACCTCTCTCTCTCTCTCTCTCTCTCCAGGTTGCAGTGCACAGACTGTGATGACACAGACTCCGGAATCTCTCTCAGTGTCTGTGGGAGACACCGTCACTATCAAATGCAAAGCCAGCGCAAGCATTAGCAACAATATTAATTGGTTCCAACAGAAGCCTGGACAGGCTCCCAAACTCCTTATCTATTATACCAGCAACCGATACACGGGTGTCCCAGACCGGTTCAGTGGCAGTGGGTCGGGCACTGACTACACTTTCACCATCAGCAGAGTGGAAGCGGATGATGCTGGGGATTATTACTGCCTGCAGTATAACAACTTCCCTCTCACAGTGATACAGCCCAATACAAAAACCTCCATCTGAGTACACAGTGCTGAGCATTTCTCACAGCTGCACACAGACAGTCAGCTGCACAGGTTTCATAACAAACAGAAACAGGGAGTTAGCAAGATCACCGTCTACCGCAGCAGCCCTGCAAACTCCTCTCACTGTCATTTCACGCAGAGAACTCAGGGAAAACCTAACTCCAAATGGCTGTCAAGTAAAACTGATGGGCTACGTCTACACTGGCACCTTTTTCCGGAAATGCTTAAAACGGAACTGTTTTCCGTTATAAGTATTTCCAGAAAAAGAGCGTCTACATTGGCAGGATGCTTTTCTGGAAAAGCCCTTTTTCCGAAAAAGCGTCCGTGGCCAATGTAGACGCGCTTTTCCGGAAAAAAGCCCCAATCGTCATTTTTGCGATCGGGGCTTTTTTGCGGAAAAGACTACTGGGCTGTCTACACTGGCCCTTTTCCGGAACAGTTTTTCGGAAAAAGGACTTTTGCCCGAGCGGGAACAGCATAGTTTTTCCGGAAAAACACTGACAATTTTACAGTAGATCGTCAGTGCTTTTCCAGAAATTCAAGGGGCCTGTGTAGACAGCTCGCAGCTTATTCCGGAAAAGCGGCTGCTTTTCCGGAATAAGTGGCCCAGTGTAGACATAGCCATGGAGAATAGCAGAGAGAACAATTCTTTAAAAAAAATGTCAGAGGGAGGAAATGAGAAAAGCAGGGATTTTGCAGCTCCTAGTACAATGGGGCCTTGAGCCATGACTGGGGTTTCTGGCACATCAGCAGTGCAAACAGCAATGATAATAACAAATAAATATGGGCCAGGTTTCCCCCAAAAGAGAGTGTTTCCTATGGAGGCACAAAATAAATATTCCTCACATCCAGGTGTTGAGATCTGCTGAAAATCTGGCCCTACGTATCTCTGCTAAGAGATGCCCAAATGGCTGCTGAGCCCTTTTGAAAACTGCTTCTTAGAGCCTGATCCTAGTCTGAGTGACGTTAACAGGAGGGTCCCCACTGACTTCTCTGGGTGTTGGATCGGACCTCCTACAGGCTCAGCTACAAGTTTCCAGAGTTCCTCAGTTCACTCAAGAGCAAGTGGCTGGTTTGCCTCTAGAGAGGCAGATAAGAGAATAATATCTGGGACACGGTGTGAATAAAACAGCCCAAAGAAGGACACCACAAGGTGAATCTGGTATGACAGGGAGGGATCCAAAAGAAGAGGAGCCGTTTCATAAGTTCCCATCCTTGCCCAGGACACCAAGGGCCACCATAAGGTTTGGCCAGCAGAAAGAAGTGAAAGACAGTGACCACACTGGCCATGACCCAGAGATCCACAGGGCAGGAAAGTGCCTCCTCCGACTGAACCACATCAGACAGTGTTTGGAATAGTTACTAGGCAGCAGCCAAATATCAGGAACTGGCAGATGAAGGACAGATCAGTTCTAGTTCAAACAGACGTAGTCACTGACACTGCCAATGAGGCATCCACCACAGCCATTAGATTGGAATCCATGGCAAACCGTGGTCTCCAAAACCCATCCAAGTGCTCTAATCCACAATGAATAACCAAGTGTTCCAGAGTCACTGAGCAGTTAGGAAACCTACTAATTAACCGTCAGCACCTGGAATTCACGCTCATTGAACATCTCAACTAGGAGTCTCCACAGCTTTATGAATTATGGACTTGAGTTATAAAAGTTTCACTTCACTTTCTGTGGTTTTTTCACAAGGTCTGATCTGAGCAGACAGAGGAGGATGATCTCGTAAGCTCATCTCATCTTCTTCTTTGTGCTCTAGATCCAGGGGGAGAACCAACTCAAAATCTAGACGACACAAAGCCTGTGTTCTCTGCATCACACCTGGCTCTTTGCTCTTATTTACATGCACACTGGAATCCACTACGTGTTTTTCCCATTTAATTAAGACAACAGAACACAGTACACATAACTAAGGTGTGAAAACACTAGAGCATCCATAGTTATCATTACATTTTTATCTTTACATTCAGACTCCAGTGGGAACATTTTGCTGACTCCAACTCCAGAGCCTGTTGTTACTAATAACCTAGTACCAACGGATACCTGGCAGGTCCTTATGTACAGGGCCTCCTCCTTGCGGCCTGGGGTCCCAGCCCCGTTCAGTGGCAGTCAGGCTGGGAGGTGTGCCACTAATTACACTCTCACAATCAGCCCCATTCACATTGGAGATGATAGAGCTCGTCATTGTCAGTATTTGTATGGTTCTCTTTCACACAGCAGTACAGGACAATATAAACCCTCCCTGCTCTGTGTTTTAGCTGCTTAGCTGTTTGCTCCCACCTGTCTCCATAGCAGGCTGGCTGCAGCGTGCAAACCATGGACAGCGACCAGGCAGCTCAAATTCATTCTTTATTGCTTAGGTTGTGGTTTAGTCATGGATATTTGTAGTAAACGTGAATTCATGGCCCATCTCCTGTCCATGACAAGTACTGAACACCTGTAAGTAAAACGTGGACTGGGAAGGGCTGCGGGTGCCCTGAGGGGATAGTCTGAGGGCACAGCAGGTGCTGGTGGGATGGCCTGGGACCAAGGTGGGAAGGCTAGAGGACTCCTCTGCTCACTGCCCCCACTACCAGCTCTGCCCCACTGCTCCCATTGGTCAGGAAGCGCAGCCAATCGGAGCTGTAGGGGAGGAGAACGTGACAGGGCAGGGACATACCAGTTGCTTCCAAGGACAGCCCCGCAAGGTGAGCATTATCCCATAACCTAACTTGCTACCCCAGCCCTGAGACCCATTCCACACCCAAACTGCACCCACAGTGGCTTATGTGTTCAGGCAGCCACAGAGCCAACAGAACTCACAAGGTAATGGGAAGTCGGATCAGTTCAGCCATTACAGAACAAAGTCTACTGGCCATGTCTGGTTTATTTCAAGCCCAGCAGATTCCAGGCCATGCCCTGTCACCATCACTCCTGGTAGGGTACCCAAGTGTGAGAATGCGGGGTAATAGGCACCTATATAAGACAAATCCCTGAACATCAGAACTGTTCCCATAAAATTAGGACATCTGGTCGTCCAGAGCTCAGCTGCTGGGCATGCCTTGGTATCATCGGGGATGCTGATCCTGACAGTTTGTAGCACAGCCTCATATGGAATATCGATGTAAACCTGATGCAAATACTGACCAGCAGCTGCATACCACACCACACTTCTGCAAGAACCTATCCCTGCAACAAAGCCCATTGCCAGATAATATACTGTGATGACAAAGATTCCAGAAGAAACAATTGCAAAGCCACTGCAACTGCTAGCAACTGTGCAGTCTGAAATTAGCACAACTTCCCTTCTCATTATTCTGGCTCTACCCTGCCCTGTGAGATCCCAGCCTGCTTCAGGAGCAGCCAGTCAAAGAAGGACTTTCACTGTCAGTGCAGTTGATTCAGACGATGGAGATCACCACCAAGAAGGTGACAGCTTCCCTCACACAGTAATAGAGCCCTGTCCCAAAATCTCCTGGGTCTCTTCAATTCCTGTCATTCCACAGGAATAGGTGCTGCCTGCAGAGAGCCCAGGGCCAATGCGGCTGCTGCAGTCCAGGTCACTGCTCTGTGTCTAGACTGATACGTACAGGGCTAGATTATGCTGCTGCATAGCGAGTGTCCCTTCTGAGGGCCACACGGAATGGAGAGGGTAGCTGCAAGCAAAAGCATAGCGCTGGGTGCTAGGGAACCCAGCAGCAGAGAAGACCAAGTGGGGCAGACTCTTTGGGGTTTTGCATTTGTCTCTGCTGAAGCCTTGTAAACTGTTCTGCTATGACCTGCAATTCTAAGGAGGCCCTGACACTCTTGGTCAATACAACAGCAAATGCAGGATGTCTGCAGGAGCATCCCCTTGGAGAGCCTCCCTACTCTCACATTCTGAGCCTGTGTTCAATGTTGCCTTCTCCACAAGTGTAATTTGTGTTAAAAGGACAATTGAAAATCTGGAGAGGCCAGGCTAGGGAGATATCCCTGGAATGAAAAGTTACCTGATCCAGAGGAACCCAAAATGGGCAGCGTCGGGCACTCTTTTTCTTTCATCCCCACCTCCTACTTTTATCCTTTCCTCTCTGGTCCACTCATAGGATGGGTCTCCTGAGTGTCCAGTCTATTCATAGACTTATAAACTCATAGACTTTAAGGTCAGAGGGGACCATTATGATCATCTAGTCTGACCCCCTGCACAGTGCAGGCCACAGAATCTCACCCACCCACTCCTGGAATAATCCTCTCAGATACTGAAGTCTTCAAATAGTTGAAAGACCCCAAGATGCAGAAAATCCTCCAGCTGTGATCTGTGCCCCATGCTACAGAGGAAGGCGAATTCAATGTGACCCTGGGTCTGCAGAGTGGAGGGACATTTACACAGAGCTGCTGCTTTGCATATTTCCACCCCAGTGACAGTCCCCAGCTGTTAATAGCAGATATAAATATGTCACTTTAACCGTTTGTGCTTCTGAGCTCCACAGCTGCCAACATGATCTCCCAGACTCTGTTTCTCTGGCTCCTTGTGCTCTGCATTCAGGGTAAGAGAAATAACAGGGGAAATTAGCTTAAATAATACCAGGCGGCAGACACTCAGATTTTCCTGTTCGAGCGATCCTTCCAAGTGGCATTCATGGTGTCAGTGAAGGAGGGCTACAAGGTGCAGGTCTGTAATTAATTAAAACTCATGGGATTTGAGTCTCTGTATATTTCTTTTTCTTTTAATTTTTCTCTCCCATCCAGACTCCAGTGGGCAGATTGTGCTGACTCAGACTCCAGAATCCCTGGCAGTGTCTCCAGGAGACACAGTCACTATCCACTGCAAAGCCAGTTCCAACACTTATACGAACCTGGTCTGGTACAAACAGAAATCAGGACAAGCGCCTAAGCTATTTATCTATGGTGCATCCACCCGTCCCTCTGGGATCCCAGACCGGTTCAGCGGCAGTGGGTCTGGCACTGATTTCACATTCACCATCAGCAGGGTTGAAGCAGGTGACGCTGGAAATTATTACTGTCAGCAGCATACCAGCTACCCTCTCACACAGTGATACAGAACAGCACAAAAACCTGCCTGCTCTGTAGAGTTTCAGATTATCACTCACTGTGTTTCAGCTGCTTTCTCCGTAGCTTCCTGATGCCCGTGCTTCTGCAAGGCTGCCCATAGGTTGTGTGTGGGTCAGATTTGGGTCTGTTCCCTCTTTACTCCAGAACTTGGCCCTTACACATGTTCCCTTCCACCATATGGTTCAGCACTTTTCTCTCCGCCACCATCGCTCCCCTACCCCTAACAGAGATCTGCTCTTACCAGCTGCATCCCACTTCCTACTGTCTGTCACTGTGACAGGCTGCTGGTGAAGCCAGAGCCCTGCCACTACAGTTTGACTGCAAAGGGCAATGAGCAGGCCCATGCCTGAGGGGCTAGTGGGAAACACCTGTGGGCCTCATTAGCCAGAGGGTTAGAAAATGCAGCCACAGGGGATGTGGAAGGAGAGGAGTGAGAGAATGGGGGAGTGTGCTCCCCAGTCAGCCAGAAAGTCCGGCTGAGTTTGCTGCTGGAACAAAGTTCTGTAAAGAGTACGTGGGAAAATCGGTGTGGACAAAAAAGGCACAGGTGGGTTGCACAGGAGGGAATCTCCACTTCATTTGTGACTGAAGAAAGCGTGCCGGGGAGGGGCCTGAGCAAGGATCTTGCCACACAGCTTACAATGTTAATTAACTTTGTAGTGAGCAGAGAACTGTACTCCAGCTTTCTCAAGCCCCCTGAGGGACACTGCAAGAGTCGAGTCCATGTTCTCAAATATTAGCAACTGGAGGAATCCCATTTTAATTTACACATTTTAATGGATCCTCCTTTTCCCACCCCTCCCTAAGCATCGTCTGTCCCCGCTTTTCCCTTCTATTCCAGCTATTGAACAGCTGTTCTTTGGCATGCAGGTGGCCTTGGGAAAGAGAGGGAGGACCTCCATGCACCCCACTTTGAGAAGCACTGGCCTCTTCCGAACAAGGTTGACTGAAACCTCCTCTTTGATTCAGCTTCTTATCTAGCAAAACAGTCACTGATGCAGCTTCCTTTTCCCAGAAGAAACACCTCGGCAGGCTTGAGACTGACAAAAATGGAACGCAGAACTCCTCACTAGCAACCTAAGGCTACAGATCACAGTGGCAAAAAGACCTGAGAACACCTGGAGGGGCACCCTGGATGAATTCTGGGTCACATTTATGCCAGCACAGTCATGGGGTTGTGGGTGGGCAGTAGGAGGAGGAACAGAGCAATCACGGTATCTGAGTGGTGGTCCATCAAATCCAACATCACTCTCCAGCAGCAACCAGTCCCTGTTGCCCCAGAAGAAGATACAAGAAACCTCCAGTAGCAGTTAGAGGAAAACCTGGCTCCTAAGAAAGTTTACTCTTCATAAGACCAACTCTTATGGCATTCTTCCTCTGCAGCCAGCACAAACCCAAGAGAAAATCTGACCCAAATCATTCTAGCTGGAAGCACTGTGAACTCAGCCTGTCTGTTCACTCCCTTCCCTGCCACCTTGTGCATTATCAGGCTGTAATTTCTATTCAGAATCAGCCAGGCAAAGATGCAAACAGAAATATTTCCATTCACTCCATTGTGGATCTTTAGATAGCCATTTAATTCTAAGGTATTCATTCCTTCACAGTGGGGATTCTTGGCAGTGTCTCACCATTGCGGTGGCAGTGGGCAGAGATCTGATTTCACTTCACCCTCACGATCAACAGTGCTGAAGCAGACGATACTGTTGGCAGCCAGGCTACTGCCTCCCTCACTGCGACTCTTCTCACAAACCTCTCTGGGCTGCTCTGTTGCTCTGCTCATTAAAACATCTTCTCTGACACAGAATCTTCTCTACAGCTGCTACTCCCATGGCAGCCTCAATGACCATGTCAGCCATAAGAGGGAACTAAAGGCTTTTGCCTGCCTCTCTAAGCACGACTAGAGGGAGGAGGGTCTAACGATTCAGAGCATAGAGCTTAACCCTTGGTTCTTTTTTTCAGTTCAGTGACTGCAGCATATTTGACACAACCGATGGGACAGAAGAAATTGGTGCATGCAGTACAGGGCCTATGTGGCTGTTGAAGTCCAGCTCACTGCTCTGTATCTTGACTGATACGTACAGAACTAGACTCTGCCAGAGCGAGTGACCTCTCGGGGGGGATGCTGGGAATGGAGAGGGCGGCTGCAAGGAAAAGCATAGCCCAGGGGTGCTTGGGAACCCTCCAGCAGAGAGGATGGAGCTGGCAGACACCTTGGGGTTTCCATTTCTCTCTCTCTGCTGAAGCCTCAAGTATTGTTCTATGACTTGAAATTCTAAGGAGGCCCTGTCATGCTTGATCCACACAACACCAAACACAGGACGTCTGCAGGAGCATCCCCTTGGAGAACCTGCACATGCTCACATTCTGAGCCTGTGTTCAATGTGGCCCTGTTTAGGACTTTCATTTGTGTTAAAAAGACTAAAATTTGGCAAGACCAGGCTGGGGAACTTTCCCTGAAATGAAAAGGTGTCTCATCCAGAGGAAAATAAAACAGGAGGGGCAGGGCTCTCTTTTTGTCTGTTCCCGCCTCCAGCTTTTATCCTTTTCTTTATGCTCCACCCACAGGATGGGTCTCACTGGTTTTAAGCAAAGGTGGGGAACCTTGTTTGTGTGAGGGGGCACTGAGCCACAGAAAAATCATATGAAGGATGCACAGAACACAAGTGAGAAGCAATGAAAAAAACCATCAATGACTTGGCCCCCGGGAGACAAAGAGAAAGACACTCCTCATATTCCCCTCCCACACCAGAGCCTACAGGCGCCTAGCTGGTAGATTTTCTGTGCTCCAGCCCCATGGGGTGGCTGCAGTGAGGCTGGCGCACCAGCACCAGCACCGGTTCCCTAATGCTGGAGAGGAGGGACTCTGAGCCTTAGGGGAAGGATCCAGACAAGCCGGGGGCCAAATCCAGCCACCAGGCCCGAGGTTCCCCACCCCTAGTGTAAAGTCTATTCAGTCTGACTCTGGGTTTGCAGAGGGAAGGGACATTTACACAGGGCTGTTGCTTTGCATATTTCCACCCCAGTGACAGTCCTCTGCTGTTGAGAGCAAATATAAACATGTCACTTGAACCGTTTGTGCCCCTGAGCTCCATAGCTGCCAAGATGATCTCTCAGACTCAGTTTCTCTGGCTCCTTGTGGTCTACATTCAGGGTAAGAGAAATAACAGTGGAAACTAGCTTAAATAACACCAGGCTGCAGATTTCCAGAGTTTCCTCCACAAGCAATGATTCCCAGTGGCATTCACAATGTTAATGCAGGAAAGATACAAGAGGCAGCTTTGTAATTCGTTAAAACGTATGAGGTTTGAGTCACTACTCGCACTTCCCCCAACCCTCTGCTGCCTCTATACGAGCAAGGCAGAGACTGAAGTAGCAAGTTGGGGGAGCAGGAACTGGTGCTGGAGGGATCCAGCTTAAAAAGTGATTCCCCAATCACCGTCTCTGTAGTGCAGTTGAGGGAGATCGGGGGTGGGGGGGGAAGGCGGGCAGACCCACAGCACAAGATCCGGCATGAGACAGGACTCAGCAGTGCTCATTAGCAACTTCTCATGCTTCATTTGCATAATCTCTTCCCGAGGCTTTCTGTGGACAAGGAGGTACATAGATCTTGCACAAAAGGATTTTTTTGTGGAAAATGAATCCATCTATAACGCTAGTTTTTGCGCAAAAACGTTTTGTGCAAAAAGCCTCACACAGAGATTATACAAATGAAGCACGAGAAGTTGCTAATGAGCACTTCATTGGCATAATTTCTGCCGGCAAAAGCCAGCAGCGTAGACATAGCCTAAATGTCTCCTTGTGGCTCACAACAACACAGAAAGACAGAGAACCTGACAGTCAGCAGTGCTGAGCTCCACTGCTTCTATTCACTTGTGCCAGAGAAGCAGGTACCGTAACACACTATATTGCCTGGTGCCAGCACAAATCAGCGCAACCTCCATTCTTATTATTCTGGCTCTACCCTGCCCTTTGGGGTCTTCAGCCTGGTTCAGGGCCAATAATTCTGGGAACAGTCACACTGATTTACACTCACTGTCAGGGCTGTTGAAGCAGATGATGGAGATAATCACCAAGGGTATGTCTACACTACCACCCTAGTTAGAACTAGGGTGGTTAATGGAGTCATACAAACTTGCAAATGAAGCCCGGGATTTGAATTTCCCGGGCTTCATTTGCATGATGCCGGGCGCCGCCATTTTTAAATATCTGTTAGTGCAGACTCTGTGCCCCACGGCTACACGCGCCATGAACTAAGTAGTTCAGAAGGATGCCGGGCGCCGCCATTTTTAAATATCTGTTAGTGCGGACTCCATGCCCGTGGCTACACGCGGGACGAACTAGATAGTTCAGAATAGGAAGCCTAATCCGAACTATCTAGTTCGTCCCGCGTGTAGCCGCGGACCTGGAGTCCGCACTAACAGACATTTAAAAATGGCGGCACCCGGCAACATGCAAATGAAGCCCGGGAAATTCAAATCCCGGGCTTCATTTGCAAGTTCCTATGACTACATTAACCACCCTAGTTCTAACTAGGATGGTAGTGTAGACATACCCCTTGACAGTGTCAGCTTCCCTCACACAGTGACACAGCCCTGTACCAAAACCTGCTGGGTCCCTTCAACTCCTGTGATTTCAGAGTAACAGCTGCTGCCTGCAGAGAAGCCCAGAGCCAATGTGGCTGCTGCAGTCCAGCTCACTGCTCTGTGTCTAGACTGATACGCACAGGGCTAGACTCTGCTACCGCACAGCGAGTAACCCCTCTGGGGGCTGCTGGGAATGGAGAGGGTGGTTACAAGCGAAAGCATAGCCCAGGGGTGCTAAGGATTCCAGCAGCAGAGAGGACAAAAGGATCAGACTCGTTGGGGTTTTCCATTTGTCCGTGCTGAAGCCTTGTAAATTATTGTTCTGTGACCTAGAATTCTAAGGAGGCCCTGACACTCTTGGGCAACACAACACCCAACACAAAATGTCTGCAGGAGCATCCCCTTCGAGAATCTTTGTACTCTCACATTTCGAACCTGTGTTCAATGTTGCCATGTGCAGGAGTTTAATTTGTGTTAAAAATACTACTGAAAATCTAGCAAGGCCAGGCTAGGGAGCTTTTCCTGGAATGAAAAGGTGTCTGATCTAGAGGAACCCAACACATAAGGGGTAGGGCTTTCTCTTTTGTTTGTTCCCAACCCCAGCTTTTATCCTTTTCTTTATGCTCCACTCATAGGATGGGTCTCATCCCTGTGAAGTCCATTCAATGTGACCCTGGGGCTGCAGAGGGAAGGGACATTAACACACAGCTCCTGCTTTGCATATTTCCACCCCAGTGACTGTCCCATGCTGTTAAGAGCAGATATAAACATACCACTTTAACGGTTTGTGCTTTTGAGCTCCGCATCTGCCAAGATGATCTCCCAGACTCAATTTCTCTGGCTCCTTGTGCTCTGCATTCAGGGTAAGAGAAATAAGAGGGGAAATTAGTTTAAAAAATACCAGGCTGCAGATGCTCAGATTTTCTTGTTCAAGCGATCCTTCAGCTTGTAATTAGTTAAAACTTATGACATTTGAGTCACTGTATATTTTATTTTCTTTTAACTATTTTCTCCCATCCAGGCTCCAGTGGGCAGATTGTGCTGACTCAGACTCCAGAATCCCTGGCAGTGTCTCCTGGAGACACCGTCACTATCCGCTGCAAAGCCAGTTCCAGTGCTGGCAGCGCAATGGCCTGGTACCAACAGAAATCAGGACAAGCTCCTAAGCTCCTCATCCACAGCGCCTCCACCCGTCCCTCTGGGATCCCAGACCGGTTCAGTGGCAGTGGGTCTGGCACTGACTTCACATTCACCATCAGCAGGGTTGAAGCGGATGATGCTGGAGATTATTACTGTCAGCAGCATTACAGCTTCCCTCTCACACAGTGATACAGACCAGCACAAAAACCTCCCTGCACTGTAGAGTTTCAGACTCTCACTCACAGTATTTCAGCTGCTTCCTCTGTAGCATCCTGGTGCCGCCCTCTGCCACTCTCCACACAGGCTGGGTATGTGCCAGATTTGGGCCCCTTCCCTCTTCACTCTAGAACTTAGTCCTTTTAGATGCTCCCCTCCCACCATGTGTTTCCCCCCTTTTCTCTCAGCTGCCATTGCTCCCCTACCGCTAACAGAGAAGACAGAGACAGATCTGTACTTATCCTGAGAGACACAGCTACAGTCTCACCCATGTGCTCAAATATTAGCAACTGAGATATCATTTTAACAGGATCCCAAAGTCCCCCTCACAGCCCCCAGCCTCAGCCCTACTCCACCTTTTCCCACCCCCTCTGCACAGTTTCCTCAATGCTCCTCACCATCCCCACTTCTTCACATATTCCATCCACCCATTCCTCCATGGCCCTACCCCACCTGACCACTCCCTGCCCTGCTCCTCCCCCACTCCACCTCTTCCAGGCCCTGCTCAGCTCCTCCCCATCCATCCTGCCCTGCTCTCCAAAGCATCCCTGTCCCCACTTCTCTCTTTCATCCCAGCACCTGCCACATGCCACTGCACCGCTGTGCCTTGGTATGGAGGAGGCCTGGGGAAGGAGAAGAAGGAATTAATTAGTGGGGCCCATACATGTCCTGTGTATCCTTGCAGACCTGCAGTTGTCTGTGTATCCCAGTTTGAAAAACACTGGCCTCATCCAAACAAGTCACACAAAGGTGCTGGACGGTTCAGTTTCTTATCAAGCAAAATACAATCACTGATGCAGCTCCCCTTTTGCAGAAGAAACCCCTTGGCTGGACTGAGATTCTGTGATACTGGCCACTGTGGCAAAAATGGGACCCAGAGCTCCGCACCCATCTCTACCCAAATTGCAGGGTTACAGGTCACAGTGGTAAAAGTAGCTGAGCCATTTGCAGTCACTGGAGCTACCGCCAGGATGAAGACCTGGGTCCCATTTTCCCCATCACAGGTGCAGTCACTGGGGTGGTGGGTGCTAGAACAGAAGGGGAATAAACACAGCAATCACTAGACCTGAGCTCTGGTCCATCTACGGTCCACAGCTGCCTTCCAAGTAGTCGGTGGCCCAAGCCCAGCCCCTCCTTTTTTCCCCCCACAGCAGAGAGCTTACGCTGACACTCCAGCTTCATGCCCCCTCGTGAGGTTGGAGCACCAGCATCAGCTTCCCGCTCAGGGTGCGGGAGAGAAACCCTGAGCCTTCCCACCAGATCTGGCTCGCGGAGGAGGAAGCAGCTCAGCGCACTGCTGCTCCTCCTTTCCCTTCTGGAGTTGTGGGAACAGCAGCCCACGGATGCCCTGCCTGGGGGATTTCCCTGCTGCTCCCATTGGCCAGGAGAATGTGCCTGGGGTACCGTGTCTGGCATCAGCACAGTGCATGAAAGCAAGTCCCCATCTTTCTCTCATGTCCAGAATATGCACCCCACTCCCCTCACGCATCCTCCTGCCAAAACCCCGCACCTCTCGCCTGCTCTCGCACCCTCCATTGCTCCTGCACCCTTCCCCCTGGACACCACTGAACCTTCCCTTTCTTTTGCCCCCTCCCCTCTGACCAGACACCCTACTCCCAGCCTGCTCCTGCACCCCACCTCTTGCCCAGACCTCACCTCCTCACTCCCTCTATTCCCCACCTCCCTTCCAGATCCTGTACCCCCATCCTTATCCCACTTGTTGGCAGCCCTGCCTCGCACACTGAACACGTCATTTTGTCCCCACTCCAGAGCCTAGGGGATCTGCAAAATCCACTAACACTGGAACCCCAAAAGAGTAAATTTGGCCTATGGGAAACCCTGAACCTCAGTCCTACCTGTCCCTTCCTCTCCCCCTGTGGGGCTGGAGCACCAGAGGAATGAGGTATTTCAGTTGGGGACCACATAGGTGAGGGTTTTGGAGCAGTTTTTTGCTTCTCACTTGTGTAGTCCCCAACTGATTATTATGAGTCAATGGCTCCCAACCCAAAAAAGGTTCCCCACCTCGGCCATAAATAAAAAAAAAAAAAGGAAAATTTTTGTGAGTTGGACATAAATTAATATTTTACTTTATTTAAAATAAAGTTTGGTAAACTAATATGACAAAGTAAAAGCTCTTAATCGGATTAATAATTTAAATTAATATTTCCATTCATACCGGTTACATGAAACCATTCTCCCTAGCTGCTGCACTTGCAAAATGGATTAGGCATAATTAAGTAATTAATGGTGAGTTTCCAACAGCAGCTGCTGGTCCACACAAAGGTTTGCACTCAGCCAGGCAGGCCATTGGCAAAAAGTTTGATCTAATTCAATATCACTCTCGGGCAACGGCCAGGTCCTGCTGCTTGGGAGGAAAATACAAGAAACCTTCAGTACCAATTAGGGGACAGCCTGGCCTCACGGAAAGTTTACTCTTCACAAGAGCAGCTCTCTTCCTCTGCAGCCAAAGCAGAAACGCAAGAGAATATCTGACCAAAATCACTCCTGCTGTAAAGGATATGAACTCAGCCTCTATATTCACTCCCTCCCTACTGATCTTTTGACATTTGCATCTCCACATCAAATGCTGCAAATAAGACACATCCATTCTGACTTAATGAGCCTCATTAATACTAGTCTTATAATTTCTTTGATATTATATATACCACAGACTTTGCAATCTCTACTCCAACTCATCTGATGAAGTGGGCTTTACCGACGAAAGGACATGACACAATAAATCTCTGAGATGCCACAGGACTCTTAACTTTTACTGAAGGATTAATTGATCGGCATTGGAGAGCTCCAACATAGCAAAATGATGTCAGCCTCAGCTCATCTAGTTGTTAGTCTTCAGGATCCAGGAGAAAGGATATCGAGGATATTGGTGTGAAAAAGCAGATTTAGAAATGATGCAGTATATTTTCATGCATTAATTTCATCCAGTGCCATCACCTTAGCAATCTATCTACCTAGCATAGAAATTACTTTTTGATTTTATGTTAAATTAATAAAGCTATGAAAATGCAATGTAGAAAGCATGTTGTTGAGTGTAAGGACATGGATGATAAATACACAACACAGCTTACTTTAACTTTCCTATCTATCTAGTGGCTTATCTTATTTACGACTGAGGCTACAGAGAAGACACTGGGATGACAAAGACTCCCGAAGAAACAGGCACAATCATTGAAGACACTGCAAGTGCTGGCAACTGTACCATCTGGTGCCAACACAAATCAGCACAAACTCCCTTCTTCTTATTCTGGCTCTAGCCTGCCCTGAGAGGTCCCAGCCTGCCTTGGAGGGCAGCCAGGCAAGGAAGGACTCTCACTATCAGTGTGGTTGAAGAACATGATGGAGATCATCACCAAGACGGTGTCGCTTCTCTCACACAAACCTGCCAGTTCTCTTCAACTCCTATGATTCCACAGGAACAGCTGCTGCCTTCAGAGAAGCACAGGCAATGTGGCCGCTGCAGTCCAGCTCAGTGCTCTGTGTCTAGACTGATACACAGAGGGCTAGACTCTGCTACTGTACAGCACATGACCCCTCTAGGGGCTACTGGGAATGCAAAGGATGGCTCCAAGTCAAACTATAGCCCAGGTACACTAGGAAACCCTCCAGCAGAGAAAAACAAGTGGGCAAAATCATTAGGGTTTTTCATTTCTCTGTGCTGAGGCTTTGTAAACTGTTGTGCTGTGACCTGGAATCATCAGGAAGCCCTGACACTCTAGATGAATACAACAGCAGACACAGGATGTCTGCAGGAGCATCCCCTTGGAGAATCTCCCTACGCTCACATTCTGAGCCTGTGTTCAGTGTTGCCTTGTTCAGGAGATGAATTAGCGTTAAAAGATCATTGAAACTATTGCAAGCGAAAAGTTAGGGAGTTTTCCATGAAATGAAAAAGTGTTGGATGCAGAGTAACCCAATACAGGTGGGTGAAGGCTTGCTTTCTATTTTTCTCCACCCCCAGCTTTTATCCTTTCCTATATTGTCCACTCAGAGGATGGGTCTCATGGGTGCAAAGCCTGTTCAATGTGACTCTGTGGCTGCAGAGAGATGGGAGAGTTACACAGAACTGCTGCTTTGCATAGCTCCACCCCAGTGACAGTCCCCCGCTGTTAAGAGCAGATATAAACATGTCACTTTAACCGTTTGTGCTTCTGAGCTCCACATCTGCCAAGATGATCTCCCAGACTCAGTTTCTCTGGCTCCTTGTGCTCTGCATTCAGGGTAAGAGAAATAATATGGGGAAATTATGCAGATGCTCAGAGATTCCACTACAAGCAATGATTCCCAGAGGCATTCACAGTGTTAGTGAAAAAGGGATTTGAGGTTCAGTGTTCTAATTAGTTAAAATGTACAAGATTAGAATCACTGTCTATTTCCTTTTCTTTTAACTTTTCTCTCCTATTCAGACTCCAGTGGGCAGATCGTGCTGACTCAGACTCCAGAATCCCTGGCAGTGTCTCCTGGAGACACAGTCACTATCCGCTGCAAAGCCAGTTCCAGTGTAAGCTACATGGCCTGGTACCAACAGAAATCAGGACAAGTGCCAAAGCTCCTTATCTACGATGCTTCCAGCCGTCCCTCTGGGATCCCAGACCGGTTCAGCGGCAGTGGGTCAGGCACTGACTACACATTCACCATCAGCCGGGTTGAAGCGGGTGATGCTGGAGATTATTACTGTCAGAGTTACTACAGTAGCTCTCTCACACAGTGATACAGACCAGCACAAAAACCTCCCTGGTCTGTACAGTTTCAGACTGTCACTCACAGTATTTCAGCTGCTTCCTCTGTAACTTCCTGGTGCTGGTGCTTCTGCAAGGCTGCCCACAGGCCGAGTGTGTGTCAGAGTTGGGTCTGTTCCCTCATCCATCCAGAACTTAGTCCTCAGATGTTCTCTCCCACCATATGGTTCAGCACTTTTCCCTCTGCCACCATTGCTCCCCTACCACTAACAGGGATCTGCTCTTACCAGCTGCATCCCGCTTCCTACTGTCAGCCACTGTGACAGGCTGCTAGTGAAGCCAGAGCCCTGCGGCTACACCCTGGCTGCAAAGGGAAGTTGAGCAGGCCCATGTCTGAGGGGCTAGTGGAAAACACCTGTGGGCCTCATTAGCCAGAGGGTTAGAAAAGGCAGCCAAAGGAAAAGTGGAAGGGGGGGGAGTGAGCTCCCCAGTCAGCCAACCAGTGAGGCCTGATGAGTTTGCTGCTGGAACAAATCTCTGTAAATAGAAGGGGAAATTGGTGTAGACCAAAAAGACACAGATGGGTTGCACAAGAGGACCTTGCCACACAGCTTGCAATGCTAATACCTTTGTACTGAGTAGAGAACTGTACTCCAGCTTCCTAAAGTTCCCTGAGGGACACTGCAAGAGTCTAATCCATGTTCTCAAATGTTAGAAACTGGAGGATTCTCATTTTGATTTGAAACATTTAATGGACCCTCCTTTTCCCACCTCTCCCCAAGCATCCTCTGTCTGCACTTTCCCCCTCTATTCCAGATACTGAACAGCTGTTCTTTGGCATGCAGATGGCCTGGGGAAGGAGAGGGAGGACCCTGGACGCTTGTTGAGAAACACTGGCTTCTTCCAAACAAGGTCAACTGAAACCTGCTCTTTGATTCAGCTTCTTATCTAGCAAAACACAGTCACTGATGCAGCTCCCTTTTCCCAAAAGAAACACCTTGGCGGGGTTGAGACTTGCAAAAATGGAACCCAGAACTCCTCACTAGCACCCAAAGGCAACAGATCACAGTGGTAAAAGAGACCTGAGCTCACTTGGGGGTACACCAAGGATGAATTCTGGGTCACATTTATGCCAGCACAGGTGCAGAACTAGGGTTGTGGGTTCTGGAGCAGTAGGAGGAGGAACAGAGCAATCACAGTATCTGAGCTGTGTGGTCTATCAAATCCAACATCACTCTCCAGCAGTGGCCAGTCTCTGCTACCCCAGAAGAATATTTAAGAAACCGTCAGTAGCACTTAGAGGAATGCCTGGCTCTTAGGAACACAAGACCAGCTCTCCATGGTCTCCCTCTGCAGCCAGAGCAAACCCATGAGAAATCTGACCAAAGTCATTCTTGCCGGAAGCGCTATGAACTCAGCAGCTATACTCAATTCCTCCCCTAACACATAGTGCATTATCAGGCTGTAATTTCTATTCAGAATCAGCCAGGCAAAGATGCCAACAGAAATGTTTCCATTCACTTCATTGTGGATCTCTATACAGTGATTTAATTGTAAGGTATTCATTCCTTCAGAAGGGGGATTCTTGGCAATCTCTCACCTGAAGCTACAGCCATTGCAGTGGCAGTGGGCAGAGATCTGATTTCACTTCACCATCACGATCAGCAGTTCTGAAGCTGAAGATACTGTTGGCAGCCAGGCTACCACCTGCCTCTCACTGCGAGTCTTCTCCCCACAAACCTCCCTGGGCTGCTCTGTCACTTTGTTCATTAAAGCATCTTGTCTGACAGAATCTTTTCTACAGCTGCCACTCCCAAGGCAGCCTCAATGACCATGTCAGCCATAAGAGGGAATTAAAGGCTTTTGCCTGCCTCTCTGAGCACCACTAGAGGGAGGAGGGTCTAACAATTCAGAGCACAGAGCTTAACCCTTGGTTCTTTTTTTCAGTTCAGTGATAGTGCAGCACATTTGACACAACCGACGGGAAAGAAGAAATTGGTGGATGAAGTACGGGGCCAATGCGGCTGCTGCAGTCCTGTTCACTGCTCTGTGTCTAGACTGATTCGCACAGGGCTAGACTATGCTAGCACACAGTGGGAACCCCCCTCCCTCCCCAGGGGGCTGCTGGGAATGGAGAGGATGGCTGCAAGGAAAAGCATAGCCCAGGGGTGCTTGGGAACCCTCCAGCAGAGAGGACGGAGCTGGCAGACACCTTGGGGTTTCATTTCTCTCTCCCTGCTGAAGCCTCGTCAACTCTTGTGCTGGAATTCTAAAGAGGCCCTGTCATGCTTGATTGACACAACACCAAACACAGGATGTCTGCAGGAGCACCCCCTTGGAGAACGTGCACACGCTTACATTCTGAGCCTGTGTTCAATGTGGCCCTGTTTAGGACTTTCATTTGTGTTAAAAAGACTAAAATCTGGCAAGGCCAGGCTAGGGAGCAATCCCTGAAATGAAAAGGTGTCTGATCCAGAGGAAAACCAAAACAGGCGGGGCAGAGCTCTCTTTTTGTCTGTTCCCTCCTCTGGCTTTTATCCTTTTCTTTATGCTCCACCCACAGGATGGGTCTCACTGGTTTTAAGCAATGGCGAGGAACCTTTTTTGTGTCGGGGGCACTGATCCACATAAAAGTGAGAAGCAAAGAAAAAAAAACCCTCAATGATGTGGTCCCAGACAGACAAGGAGAAAGACACTCCCCATATTCCCCTCCCACACCAGAGCCTAAAGCGGCCTAGCTGGTGGATTTTGTGTTCTCCAGCCCCATCGGGGGCAGCAGTTGGGATGGAGAACCAGCACAGGTTCCCCAATGCTGGGTTGGGGAAGGGGCATGAGCCTCAGAAGAAGGATCTAATCTAGCCGGAGGCCAAATCCTGCCCCCAGGCCTCAGGATCCTCACTCCTGGTGTAAAGTCTATTCAATGTGATCCTGGGTCTGCAGAGGGAAGGGACATTTACACAGAGCTGCTGCTTTGCATATTTCTACTCCAGTGACAGTCCCCTGCTGTTGAGAGCAGATATAAACATGTCACTTTAACCGTTTGTGCTTCTGAGCGCCACATCTGCCAAGATGATCTCCCAGACTCAGTTTCTCTGGCTCCTTGTGTTCTGCATTCAGGGTAAGAGAAATAACAATGGAAACTAGCTTAAATAACACCAGGCTGCAGGTTTCAGAGTTTCCTCCACAAGGAATGTTCCCAGGGGCATTCACAGTGTTAGTGAAGTAAAGATACAAGATGCAGTTTTGCAGTTCGTTAAAATGTATGAGATTTGAGTCACTGTATATTTCCTTTTCTTTTAAATGTTTTCTCCCATCCAGGCTCCAGTGGGCAGATTGTGCTGACTCAGACTCCAGAATCCCTGGCAGTGTCTCCTGGAGACACAGTCACTATCCACTGCAAAGCCAGTTCCAGTGTCAGCAGCTGGATGGCCTGGTACCAACAGAAATCAGGACAAGCTCCCAAACTCCTCATCTATCGCGCTTCCAATCGTCCCTCTGGGGTCCCAGACCGGTTCAGCGGCAGTGGGTCTGGCACTGACTTCACATTCACCATCAGCAGGGTTGAAGTGGATGATGCTGGAGATTATTACTGTCAGCAGTATGACACCGCCCCTCTCACACAGTGATACAGACCAGCACAAAAACCTCCCTGCTCTCTATAATTTCCGACTCTCTTTCACATTATTTCAGCTGCTTCCTGTGCAGTCTCCTGATGCTTCTGCAAAGCTGCACATATCCTGGGTGTGGAGAGGGGATGTAACTAAGAACTCAATAGGAAAAACCCAAACTTAGATCCCAGCACGCCTGCAGTTTGGGTCCTTGTGCATTTTTGGGCCTGCCCCTACCAAGAACATCTCCAAAGAGCCAAGACCACGGTGCACCATCCCGGCAATCAGGGGCAATTAATGAGTCAGATTTGGGTCCCTTCCCTCTTCACTCCAGAACCTAATCTTTGAGATGCTCTCTTTTCTCTCCACCATTGTTCCCCTACCACTAACAAGGATCAGCTCTTACCGGCTGTATCCAGCTTCCTTCTGAAAGCTGCTCACAATGCTAATACCTCTGTATTGGGCAGAGAAATCAGACAGAGAACTGGACTCCAGCTTCACACTGCACCCTGAGTGACACTGCAAGAGTCTACTTCATGTCCTCAGATATTAGCAACTGGAGGTCTCCCATTTTGATTTAAAATTAATGGAACCCCAAGACCTCTCAGCCCCAGGTCCCATCCCCACACCACCATTTCCAACCCCCACTGCACTGCTTCAGCAAAGCCCCTTTCCAACCCCACTTCTTCCCATCCCCACTCCACCTTTTCATCGAAGGCCTCACCCCCACCTGACCTGTCTCTGCCCCTGATCCAGCCCTCTCCCACCACTTTTTGGCCCTGCTCCTGCTCTGCCCATCCATTCCATCTCCTCTGCCAAGCATCCTCTGAACCCACTTCTCCCCCTCCATCCCAGCACCTCCCACATGCTACAGAACAGCTGTACCTTGGCATGGAGGAGGCATGAGAAAGGTGATGGAGGAGTTCATTGTGGGGCCTGTAGAACTCCTGGATTATCCTTAAGGCCGCAGGTGCCCCTGCATCCCAATCTGAGAAACACTGTCCTACTCCAAACAAGGCAGACTGAAAGCTGCTCTACGGTTCAGCTTCTTATCTTCCAAAACACCGTTACTAATGCAGCTCCCCTTTCCCAGAAGAATGACGTCGGCAGGATTGAGACTCTCTAATACCAGCTACTCTGGTAAAAATGGTACCCTGGTGTCCTTACCTGTCCCCAAAGGTTACAGGCCAGGCTCGTAAAAAGACCTAAACCCACCTGAGTCATTTGTCATAGCTGGAGCTGCTCCCAGGATGAATTCTGAAGCCCAATTTTTGCCAGCACAGGTGCACTCAGTGGGGTTGTGGGTGCTAAAAGCGTGGGTGCAGGAGAGGGAGAGGGGAACCCAGCAATCTCTAGGCCTCAGCTGTGGTCCATCTAATCCAACATCACTCTCCAGCACTGGCCAGTCCCTGTTGCCCCACGGG